ATTTGTGCGGGAAAAAACGGCAGATTGGCCTGAAAGAGCACAACAATGATAAATGAAAGTGTTCAGTGCTGTGCTACTGAGATGACACTGAGCCATAAAGCAAACAAAAGGATTTTTTTTGTTTTATTCTTTTCTTTCAGCAAATATGGAATCCTATGACTGTATATATATGTAATAGAACCACGACAGACCCGATGACGTCCATTCATCCATTCTCTACCGCTTATCCTTTTCAGGATCGCGGGGGTGGGGGGGAGCCTATCCCAGCTGTCTTAGGGTGAGATGTTCATTTCGTTTATTTAGACTTGGTTGCTGTTCACAACACGCGGACGTGACTTTCCGGTCGCCGGCGAACATACACACCAACAACAACAACATAACAACAGGACCCAGTTCCCATTTTAAGCGGCGAGGAGTGATGTTGCGGATGCTGCTCAGGTGCGTCCGCCTCCCCTGCAGCAGCACCACAGACCACGCCCCGCCACATACCCCCATCGCCCAACTGAGGCAGGGCAGCCATCCAGCCGAACCTACTCCCTTCCGCAAGCGGGAGAGGGAATCCACCGTGACCACTGGCACCTCCACCCGCCCTGGCCCAGTTACAGGGAGATGTCGGTTCAGGGAGCCTCCTGCGTATCCAGCGGCGCAGGTGATGTGGTGGAGCGCAGGACCTCTGGTGGAAGTGAGTCAAGACCCCCGCTACAATATACATATGCGGCCATATTCTTTCTATGTGACATGTAAACAAGAACATACCCCCTAAAATAGAATTTCACTTTTATTAATCAAATATGAATCCCTGCCAAAATTCCACCACTGTGGTAGAACTTGTGTTACATTAGTTTTACTTCAGCAAAGAGATTTAGCAAAAAAGAATACTATAAATAGATAAGAGACAGAATAAAAAGTCCAAAACACTCAAAGTTGATCCAGGAAAATAATATTTTATATTTCCTGTATCAGTGCCTTCTCCAGTTTTACTGCTTGTGTTTAGCATTTGAGGACGCAGACAGAGCAGCAATGCAGTGTGACTAAAGTGTATCTTATCACATTCAAGGTGAACTGTACTTTGTCATGTAATTTGATTGTGAGAAAAATTAAACTCGTGGCAAATGTGAATGCAATTACAAGTATGAGGGTATGTGACAGGAAGTGGCCTTGCATAGAAGACTGCTCAAGATGAAAAGTTACTTTAATCTACAAACTACAGATTATAAGCAATTCTGTACATTGCTGCATGGGAGTGATGGAGATGAGGACCATATAGAAAAAATGAAGAAAAAGACAAAGTTTAACCACTTCTCAAATCAAATCAAATCACTTTTATTGTCACATCACATGTACACAGGTACATTGGTACAGTACATGCGAGTGAAATTCTTGTGTGCGAGCTTCACAAGTAACAGAGTT